TTTCTTAAATATTGACGTTTTTAAAGATATAAGCTCATCCCGATGTTACACTTTTCGAGACCTTTCATTTGAGTACCCACATCAATTTTTCATATATATATATATATATGAAAAATTGATGTGGGTACTCAAATGAAAGGTCTTGATGAGTGTAACATCAGGATGAGCTTATATCTTTAAAAAAGTCAATAGTTCACACGATACAAGGTAATTTCTTAATTATTTATCTAGAGTAATAATATGGATTATTTTATCTACTTATTCATATTACAGAAAATTAATAGCAATTAAAATATTTACCTGTGAAACAACCTTTAGGCGAACGTGCTTTAGTATTTAGAACAGGATTTATGGCATTTAAACTGCACGGACTAAAACGATTGTTATTACGTTTGTCACCACTGGTTGCACGCGCAAACATTATAAAATTTCCATCCTCACCACCTGGTGTACACTGCTCTGGATCGTGCTGTAAATAACCGTAACAAATTTAAAGTTTTGTTTTTTATTATTTAATTTACTTTTTATTAGTTGTTTTACATAAGTAATCTTGTTAATTGTTTCACTTACCGGTGACCCAAAATTATGGCCAATTTCATGTGCCAGAGTAACATGAGAAACAGCTGGTGGTACGTGTTTCCCGTAATTCAGTAAAGTTACGATTCCAGTGTTCAGAGACTTCATACTTCCTCTGTAGTGCTGTAAAAAAAAAAAAAAAAAAAAAAAAAAAAAAAAATTAATATTTCATTAAATTAAAAATAAAAACTTTATTACATAAACACAAATTAAAATTCATCCAACATATTAAATCTGACAGATAAATTAAATTATTGAATGAATCCTGTCATGAAAATTGAATTGCAAAAATCAATTCTAGAAACATGGAAATATTATTATTATTATGTGTAAATATAAATTTAAAATTTTTTTTTTTCAGTATTTGAATATTCTATGAATAATACATAGTTGACTGAATATTTAACATCATTTAATTTGTTATGAAATAGCAGACTGGGCGGAATTTTAAAATAATAAAAAAGTTTAAATTATATATAATATAAATGGTATACGCATCATAAATTTAAAGATAAAATAATATATTGATGTATATATAGTAAATGGAAAAAGATGTTTTAGTCTTTTCATAACGACTTTTCGATCAATATTTAATATCCTGTATACCTCGTCTCTAAAAAGCTTGAATTCTGTCTGTACCTATTTCCAGATGGTTAAGAGAGTGAATACATACAGATATAAGCGCGCGCATGTATCGTACTTTATACGAAGTACAAACAATAAATTTGCATTTAAATAAAAATTTTATTTTTTAAATTAAACAACTTTAAAATAGATAAAAAAAATACAAAAAAAAAAAAAGAGCATTAAAATAATATAAGAAAATTAAATGAGATAATATTCTTACTCCGTTCTTTTCACAAACGCCGCCGGCATTTTTTAAATCGCCTGTCCATGCAAGTCCGAGTGTCCCCATCTCAAAGTCCCGGTACGTGAACATGTAGGCCAAACAAAATGCGTCATAATCTTCCTCTAAAATAATAAAAATATGTATATATAACGGTGAATTATTATTTTTATTAGTTTAACGAATGACACATCACGTCGTAGCATATTTACCTGAAAAAAGTTCCAGAAATTTTTCAACTCCGTAACTATTTGGGAATCGATAATGCGAATCCTTCATCGCATCTGCATTGTGTACTTTGACTCGTTTTATCATAAAACTTATATTATCAGGTCTCCCATCTTGATTGAAGTCTGTGTGTTTGTAAATAGAATTAACTCGCTGCACGTGCCTTGTCATTACTTCAATGCAAGCTTCCTCGGTACCGTATCGGGCAAAAAATTGATGATCAGCTTGCAGATATAACATACATGTTGTTTTACGGGGATCAACGGTGGCTCGTTTATGTAAATGTCTAGTAAATCTATCTCTATTGATCCTATAATCAAAAATAATATTTACACAATAAATAAAACTTATTTTCCCTAAATAAGGTTAAGTACCCAATACTTGAACACACTTTTCGAATTGTTGTAATATAAAATCCGTCAATTTATTATGAGTAATATAAGCATATTATAATTATTCAATGATACAGTAATTGATTTCTGTAAGTTTTTTCAATTATAAATCAAAACAATTATATTTTTTTTAACTTAAAATTTGACATGTCGAGAATTGCCGATAGATGTTATTTTTTTCATGAAAAAAGGTACTAAATCGTAAACCAAACAATCAGTAGAAAAAAAAACGGTATATCATCATTTTAAGTAAAAAAAAATTGTACCACCCAATGAAATAGTCTTTTCTAAATAATACATATTTTTTGCAAAGACAAACTATAATTTTTATATTAAATTTTAGCGTCTAACTATATCTCCGAATTTTTAAAACAGTACCCAGAACTTGAACAAGCTGGGGCCGTATAATTTTAACAGCACTCTAATTTCTAAAAGGTTTACAGACTAGTGATCAGCATTGTAATTTGTATTAATTACTGCAAATTAAATAAGTTTTGTAGCTAAAAATTAGTATAGTTAAAAATTATTGAACGTTTTGAATTGAGTTTCTTTTATTAATATTCAAAAATTTGCTTTATCATTTATAAAAAAATGTAATTAAAAAATTAAATATTTTTAATATTGTTCAATAACATGTTATAAATCTTTGGATATTTCAATAAAACGTTGAAAATTTTTGGTGTGCCTATTGCCATATATTTTATTAGTTCAACTATTGCTCCCGGAGTGTTCAACTACTGCGGCTTGTCAGAATTGATTGTTCAACTACTACTCCTTTCATAGACTATCTTAAAAACGTTGTCAAAATATAAATATTCAATTATCTTTGTTATTATGCGCTTCAATCAATTCAAAATTGTTTATATTTTCATGAAAATCACTAATTTGAACCAATAATTACATCTTTATGTATTAAAAGTAGGGTCAAATACGTTTTACTTTGAAATCTGTTCAACTACTGGGTACTTCATTTTAATAAAATAATTATTCTTAAAAATAATCTTACCCATCAATAAATTGTATATTGGAACCTCCTTTATTGATATGCCTTCGATTAATTTGCCGTAAATAATATCCACCATTATCACGAATTTCATGGTCCTGAAGTTGCTCAAAATAAGGCTCAAAAGATTCATTTTTCTTCTTCTCACCTAGATGAATAGAATTACTTTTATTTAATTTTCCTTCATGCAATTCTTTACTGGCACAGCGGCTGGGTTGAGGTGGAGCGACGACATCTGATGCTCGGTACGCTATGGTATGATAAGTAGGTGACGTATTTTCTTCACTCTCAGAATCTTCTGTTCTTGTTAAGTATCTGCTAGTTGGTTCGAAGTAATAGTCTTCAGAAGTTGTAGAAACGGATCCATCAAACAAACCGTCTTTTGTCACAATTCCTTCAACAATAGCATTGTCGTCCTCTGTGAAAAATGAAAAAAAAAAAAAAACACGTGTGTGTTAATGCTAGAGATAGTTAAAATACGCTTGCGAAATATATTCATTTATCTTTTCACCAACAAAATGAAACTTGGAATATAAAAAACTAGAAACGACACTGTTTATAAGAAAATAAATGGATATAAAAGTTAGAGTAATGACAAAAAAGTGTACGAGGATTTACAGCACCGATAAGAGTACATAGTTTCTCATTTTACATTAATCAAAAAGCCGACGTAATACATGTTTCACCTTGACAATAAATCAAAACTACTATTACTTACCAGCAACGGTGCCAGTATATGAGTGTGAAGAGTCAAAAGCGATTGGTCCATTTGTTCCTTCAAAAACTGCATCTTTTGCAAATACAGTATCCGGAACAAGTCTCATTGTCCATTCTCTAAATTACAGAAAAAGAAAAAAAATAGAACCATAAATATAGGTATATCTTATATTATTCAACAAATCGATAGTATAAAATTGAATAGTACAAGGACGTTGAGAAACCATAAAATTTCGTAGCTACGTGTTATAATAATAGATACATTATTACGTATTAAATTAAATTAAACTATCAACCTTGCAGTTACTATGTAACTGCCGTAACTTCTGAACTATAAATAAAATTTTACTTTATTAAATAATGAATTTTGTTAAATTGCACTGTATTTTCTTAAATATTGACGTTTTTAAAGATATGAGCTCATTCTGATGTTACACTCGTCAAGACCTTTCATTTGAGTACCCACATCAGTTTTTCATATATTTTTCCTATATACATATATATAATATATATTTTGAAGATATAAGCTCATCCCGATGTAACACTCATTAAGAGTTTTTATTTGAGTACCCATATGCATTTTGGTATATTTTTCATATGTACATATATGTAATATATATATAAATATATGAAAAATTGATGTGGGAACTCAAATGAAAGATCTTAATGAGTGTAATATCGAGATGAGCTTATATCATGAAAAATATTATTAGTTGACAAAATGCAATATAATTTCTTAATTATTGACATTTTTTAAGATATAAACTCATTTCGATGTTACACTCATCAAGAGTGTTCATTTGAGTACCCACATGCACTTTGATATATTTTTCATATATACTTATATGTAATATATATAAATATATAAAATATATGAAATATTGATGTGGGTACTCAAATGAAAGGTTTCGATAAGCGTAACTCTAGGATGATCTTATATCGTTTAAAATATTATCAGTGGACAAAATAACAAGTTATTGCTTTATTATTCACATTTTTTAAGATATAAGCTCATCCTGATGTTACATTCATCAAGAGCTTTCATTTGAGTACACACACGATTATTTTCATATATTTTTCATATTTACATATACATAGTATACATAAATATATAAAATATATGAAATATTGATGTGGGTACTCAAATGAAAGGTCTCGATGAGTGTAACATCGGGATGAGCTTATATCTTTAAAAATTTCAATATTTCACAAGATACAAGGTCATTTCTTAATTATGTATCTAGAAATAGAGAATTTTCGAATGCAGCCTAAATACTTATAATAAATTGACTATCGGTGAGAATAAAATGAAACCTTGAAAAGGCACAAATTAAAGACCTTTGCAATGACACTAAATTTCGCTAAAAAAAACCTACTTTATCATATGACTATCTTGGACACAAAATTAATAATATAGATTAATAATAGATTTTATTACCTATCAAATGTCCGAAGGTGAAGAACGATTGGTTGAACCTTGCTATCTTCGGATACATCTCGTCGGACCCGGTTCCGATGTTCTCGTAAAATAGCCGAGTCATATGAGACTGGTTCATAGTAACCAATGTAAGACCGCTTAGTAATTCCTGAAATATTCACCAAGTTTATTATTAACAATTAAAATATTTTTAATGATATGATATGATAACAAAGAAGAATAAACGGAAATACTCGGTCCCTTACCTGCGTGCGGCGGAAGAGGATGAAGAGGAGACGCGTCAACGAGCACAAGCGAGAGGATAGCAAGGGCCCATTGGATTGTCGCGGTTGGCATCACGATCAGTCCCCGGGGCCCGTTGAACTTCCCCAGGAGCGTATCACGTATCAGTCTCCACACAATTCCAACGAACGCTATCTCTCCGGTTTAGCTACCATCTCTCTGCCCACACAACCCATCAGTTCCATTCTGCTCTACTCTGTTGACAAAGAAATAAATTTCGTTAATATTTATTTATTTATCTTTACTTAAATTATCTTCACTCTAATGCAGTACGTTTCTGTGACTAATAACACCAGCTTATTCATTGTAACGGTAATATACAAAGACAGTGTTCACTTGCGGAAAAATCGGGGAAGCGTAGTAACAAAAGAAGAAAATAAAATAATACTAACAATAATGATAATAAATAATTTTTATTATTATTATTATTAACTCCATGGGGACAGTAAGGCTTGCTAAGATTTGTTTGTTCGATTTCCACATTGTCTTGTCGCTCTGTCTCGTGACAACGTCTGTTACGTTGAATCCTATACGATTATTTAATTGATAAGTAAGCACGCGCTGCTCACTGAAGAGAAACAAAATTAAGTACCGCGTGCTGTAAGCTAAACAATCTCAACATCGTAATATTATTAAGTAAGTAGTCGATTGCACAAATAAACTTTCAGTTCAACAATAATTATTGAACTAATTCTGTAATGCTACTGCTCACAGTAAATATGATGATGATGATGATGATGATGAGCAATACTGATGTAGGTCGAGGGTAAATTAAGGTCATGCGAATTTTTTTTTTTCACAATAAATATGAAATATTAATCCTTGCTATTGATTGTTCTGAGTAAGAGAAAAACAAAGACTCGCTCCTACTCGAAAGTAGGATCATTGTATTTCGGAGCTCTGAAGTTAAATAGTGTAGCGGTTTGAGATGAATCATCAATCTTTAAAGGTAGATCTGGCATCACTGGCACGTAACTAGCATTCTCCTGGAGTGTATTATCGTATAGACAAGATGAGTGACTCTAAAGGTATAACCTGGTCTCCTCCTAAGTTAGCTTACGTATAAAATATTATTTTAAAAAATTAATAAAAGAATAATAATGAAGTTTGCTGTCAGCTGTCAATTTTAAAAATTTTTTTTAAATAAAAAAATTCTTTTAAAAATTTTCACTTGCAATTTTTTTATAATTTTCACATGTGGAATTTTTTAATTATATTTTTTTTTGTAATTTAATTGCTATAAAATTCTGAAAAAATTTTTAATTTTTTTTCAATAATTAAATAAGAACAAAAAAATATTTTATAAAAATTGCACTTATAGTTTTTTACAAATGAAAATTTTAATATTAAAGTTAGCAGTCACTTGATAATTTTTTAATTTTTCTTAAAAAACAAATTTGTTCTAAAAAATTGCATTTTTAATTTTTTCAATGTCAATTTTTTTTGTCATAATTTAATAGTTAAAAAAATTATTAAAATTTGATAAATATCTGGTAAATTAATTTTCCTACATTTTTTTTAATTATTTTGGCAATGAAAAAAATTCTAAAAATTTTTAAATGTCAGCTAACTTAATTTTCAATAATAAAAAAATTAGCCGATATTTTTTATTAAATTATAACTAAAAAATATTTTTAAAAAATTGCACTTATAGTTTTTTAAATAAATATTTTTAAAATAATTTGTTCACTAGAAAAAAAAATTCTAAAAATTTTTAAATGTCAGCAAACATAATTTTGATGAATAATTAACACCCACACACCTGTTTAAAAAATTCCGAGGCGTTTGATCCTGAATCCAGGGACTACGTGATTGTCTACCGGTTCTCTGGATACGATGCAACTTTAATGCTCAATGCAATCTGTTGTATATTCAGCTTATCATCACTCGTAAGTAAATAATGAGTATTTAATAAGCTAACAATTAATTAAACTAATTACATTATCACCACAAGTGCCATGAATATTTATATAATCTAAACAATGGAAATAAAAAATAAATACAAATGTAAATAAAAAAAAATTTTAACAGAATGACACGAACAAGAAGGCTGTTCGCGTAGCACTGTCGGTCGTCCGGTTGGTGGACAGTGAACGAACGAGGACTCCGAGGACAACGACTCCCTACCTCGCCAACGCACTCACTTTCCACCGAATCTACTATGTATTTTCTATTCTCTTTTCTCACCTGCGTATTTCTGTCTTTTTCTCTCGCTGTCAACTCACAGTCATACTATCCTTCTTTTATGAGCTAGCTCTTTCTTTGTTAGACTGCTTAGTGCTCAACTCAACGATCGAACCAACACTACTTCACACCACCCGATCACCCCATTTGATTTGCCGTCTACGTCTACCCTCGTGTAATGCATGCGTGATTATATTTCTTGTCTTTATTCTTTTTACTAGCTCTCCTTCCCACATTTTCTCCATTTGAATGTGTCAGTATGTTTTTATTTATGCGCATGCGCGCTTCTTGGCGCGGCGCGAATTGTTGTTGTATTGTGGCGCCGCCTGGCGAGAAATTTTAACGTATTTCTGTTGATGCCTGTTAGTGCCTGTCGAATCGATTGCTTTTTGTTTATGTTGCTTCGTTGTATTGTAATTGTATAATTGTGTAAAAGTACGGAACTTTTATATAGCTGATATTTATTTTATTAATTGTTTGATTGGAAGACTTTTAACGATTGTCAACAATGTCTAATGAAGAAGCTGTTTCTGGAATAGAACAATTAAACATTGCTGATAATGAACTTATGGTTGCCAATGCTGATAATGTGGGAGATACTACTTATAGTGCGACTTGGATTTTAAGAAGATTGTTGACTTTATCCAAGGCATGGTTTGATTATTTATACTAAAATAACAGAGAAAATAATTAATAATACTAAAGTTAGCCGAAATTTTTGGATTATGATATTTAAGTTAGCAGACACTTTAATTTTATTTAACAGAAAAATTTTTGACAAAAAATTATTTTTAAAAAATTGCATTTTTTATTTTTTTTTATTTTTACATATCAATTTTTTGTCATAATTTATTATCTGTTAAAAAAATTCTAAAAATTATGAAATATCTGGGAAATTAATTGTCATTTTTGGATTTTTTATTTTGCTTAATTTATTTAATTATAACTAGAAAATATTTTTTTTTAATTGCACTTATAGTTTTTGAAGTTTTTAACAAATGAAAAAATTTTTTGTAATAATTTTTTGATTGAAAAAAATTAAAAAAATTTTTAGATTTCGACTAACTTAATTTTCATAAATTGATTATTTATAATACTGAAGTTAGCTGTTAGCTGTTAATTTTAAAAATTATTTTAACATATCATTTACAATAAAAAATTTTTTTTTTATTTTCACAAGTGAAATTTTTTTTATAATAATTTAATTTCCATAAAATTCTAAGAATATTTTTTGTGTCTGTTAACTTCAGTATCATAATTATTTAATGTTAAATAATAAATATGACAAAAATTCATAAAAAGAACTTTGAAATTTTTGTACACGCTTTTTTAATAATTCTTTGCAAATAATTTGATGTCTGTGGTTTTTCTATTTGATTTTTTTTTTTTAATTTAATTTTATTTTATTTAAATGTGTGTTTTAGATTAATGAAGAACCATGGTCAACCGATCTAGAAACAGACTTTTGTTATCTGTGGGACATGACAACAGAGAAAGATATTGTTGACTTTTTATGTCAAAACAATTTTTTGTCTGTTTCTGAATTTGTAATTGATAATGCACCAGAGCCGAGATGCAGGGTAAATATTTATCAAAAGTCTGACAATTTGTTTTTATTACGATTGTTTATTATTATATTACACATTTTCAAGAAAATTCATTTGTATATTAGTTGATACTGAAGTTAAAAGAATTGTTTGGAATTTTAATAACCAATCGATAATTTAAACAAAAGTATTGTAAGAAATTCGCACTTTTAATTTTTTTTTTTTAATTTCAACATGTGTTCAAAAATTGTTAGATGTCTGCTAAATTCAGTATCATATTTTCAAATGTTTTTTCCATACATTATATTATTAAAAGAATAAGGAAAATTTTGTCTCCAGGATAGTCCTATGATAAAATCGGTTTTTTTTAGTGAAATTTGATGTCATTGCTAAGATCTTGACTTGAATTTGTGCCTTTTCAAGGTTTCATTTCATTCTCACCGATAGTCAATTTATGATAAGTACATAGGCTGCGTTTGACAACACTATCTCTAGATATATAATTAAGCAATGACCTTGTACCTTGTAAAATATTGATATTTTCAAAGATATAAGTTCACCCTGACATTACACTTATTGAGACCTTTCATTTGAGTACCCACATCAATTTTTCATATATTTTGTATATTTGTATATATTACATATATGTATATATGAAAAATATATCAAAAATGGATGTGGGTACTCAAATGAAAGCTTTTGATAAGTACAACATCAGGATGAGCTTATATTTTTAAAAACGTCAAAATTTAAGAAACTACAATGCAATTTAACAAAGGTCATTATTTAATAAACCAAAACTTTAATTATTTATAGTTCTCAAGTCACGGCAGTCACATAGTGACTGCAAAGTTGCTAGAGTTATTTTTTTTTATAAATAACTAATTCTAATATTGATCTTTTCTTTTTTTTATTTTTTTATTTAATTTAATACGCTACAAATTAATGCTCAAAGTCAATTAATTTTTTTTTACAGGAAATAATAGTAGGAATCTTAGGAAATTTGTGTTCACAGCCAACAGCGTTCACTCGTATTACTAATACACCCACATTAGTAACTAAATTATTAAGCTTGATGTCTTCTGACGATACTGAAACGCTGATTCAAGTTTTAAGAGTACTCCAAGCTGGATCTCGTGATATGCAGATTACTATTACATCACCTTGGCGAGAATACTTGCTATACAGTAAACCTTTGGCGGATGCACTAACATTTATTTTTAATAGTTCAACAAATAGTAAGTATTATAAATTATAAGTAAAATAATTTTATGTAATTAATTATGTTAATTAAATATTATCATTATTTTTTAGGTCAATTATTGAGAGAATCTTTGGCTTTAATGCATACAATTGCTACGAATACAATATTTTTCAATGAAATATTTGATATAAATCCTCTGCTGGTAGGCTTAGTAGAAACTTTTGACCAGTTAATGCCGTCAGAGCAAGAAGAAGAAGCAGCAGAAGATGATGAGAATGAATCAAACGATCAAGTTGTCATTGAACGTTGGCTTGAAATTATTGTGAAAATACTTGAACGCCAATCAACGACTCGTATAAACAACTATAAAGATATTATTCGTGTTGTGATTAAGATACTGGGAAAATTAGAAGAAAACATGATTCCAATGGATGAGAACAAAGCTTCTTCCATTTATGATTGTGTAGCGATAGCTAATTGGCTAAAAAAACATCGTTATCACGTTGATATTAAGTTTTTATGCCCACTTACTAAGATTATGATTAAACTTGATGATGGTAAATTTATTTATTAATTTTTTATCGCGTTATTAAAACCAGAAGGGCGTATAAAAAAAATTTTTTATTCTATAATCAATTAGGAAATGTATAAAAGTCAAAATCTAGTTGAAAAACGCAAAAAAAAAACATTTTTAAAACGCCCTTTAGACTTTAAGGAAAGAAATTTTTTAAACTAAAAGGGCGTATATGAAAAAACAGTCAAAGTAGCTTCTAAAGACTTTAAAACGTCGAGATCTAATAAAAAAAAAATTTTAGAAAGTGAAACTGAAAACACTAACACATCTTAACCCGTTGAGGTCATTATGGGTTTAAATGACCCAAAGCAATTTTTGAGTTGCTCTTGCTTTGAAGATATCATTTAAGATGGTATCTGTGGTACCATCTATTATTGTTTGAAGATTTTTTGAGATTCATGGAAATTTACGATTTTAATTGCACAAATCAATATACTTTTTGGAACGCTCGACATGCCACCACTTTTATTTTTTTTTTCAAAGTATGTGATTTCCGGAGTAGAACCCCGGGAGTCATTTTCATTTATCTTAAAAAATGAAATTTTTATGGAGTTTTTAGTAATGAAAGTCAAATTTTTAGAAATTAGACTTTCTCGCATTATTTTATATAATTAAATAATTGAAGAAAAATTAAAGAACGATTGAGTTATTCAACGGAAGCGTTAAGAATTACTCTCATGTACGGCTTGAGTGAAAATATTGAGAAGAACGTACGTAGTAACAATTTTTTCCATGCAAGGGGTTAACTAGATCCAGTATGACCACTACGTTATTTATAAGAAATGTAACCGGAAAAAAATTAAAATAAAATTTTTAACTTCTCCTAACATAAATTGAAAATTTCAAAAAATTCAACTGTGATATTATTTTTAGTTAAATTTTCAAAAATCATTTTTTCATTAGAAATAAAAATTAAAAACTTAAAGAAATTGGGATGTGTTGGTGTTTTCAGTCTCACTTCCGAAAATCATTTTTTCATTATTTTCATATACGAATTTTTGGTTTTAAAATTTTTTATTCTCTTAAAGTCAAATGGGCTCGTCGAAAACAATTTTTTTTTACGTTTTTCAACCAGATTTTGACTTTTATACATTCCATAGGGTAAAAAATAATAATCTATATATTATTTCTTATCTTTAAGACCTTTAAATCAAAAAAAATTTTAATTTTTATTCCAAGTAGAACATATTTCTATTGAAAAAAAAAGTGCCACTAATAGGGATTAAAGGTGTCAATAATAGGGTCTTTTACCTTAGTTGATGGAAGAAAAAAATATTTTGTTATACTCCCTATTGGTTTTAGTAACATGGTATTTTTAATTTCCATCAATGTCTATTAATTTAATTTTTATCATTACAGAAATATCGAAACAACAAGAGAACGACAAAGAAATCATGGTTGATTTATTGAAGCACTTACATAGATACTGGCTTGGTGTTTATGGTGCCAGTGATGAGTTGATTACCGACGAATATTTGTCAACATGTCCATCTGAAGTCTCGAGATATTTGATGAATTATATTTTCAATGGAACTAGACATTACAATAAGTTTTAATTTTTTTTTTTTTATCTAACACTTGAGTCTTTATAATTTAATTTCTTTTAAATTTAATTTTTCATTCTTCAATTTTTAATATTCTTCTATTTTTCTCTTTGTGTAAACAATAGTATTATTAAAATTCAACCATTATTTTATAAGTAATAAGTTTCATTGTATGAAAAAATTCAGACAAATAATTTATCAAGAATGTAAACATAACGTTTAATTTTTATATTTATTACATTCCGATAAATAAAGAATTTTTAAATTACTTTTATGTTTTAAACAAAATATTTAAAAAATTTACAGTGTGTAAACTATTAATTAATTTAACAATAGAAATATTTAATTATATATTTAATTACATGTTTAAGCTAGACAATAAAATCATTGAATTTTCCCGCGATGAAAGCTAAACTAATAATAGGTGTCTACTAATCAGTGATCATATGTTTTCTCTTTCGATAAAACAAATCCCTACTATAAAAAAAATAAATAAAATAAACCAACGACATTGAGACAAAAGTAAAGCGCATAAAAGACATTTTTATACTTCATATTTTTCCAAGGAGATTGACATATTATGAAAAGATAATATTTTAATTTCAGGATAATATTTTATTGATCATTTTACAAATAATACTCAACCATGTCTACAGATTTGAGTCTTGACGACGTGAGTATACAACGTTACTCTCCAATTTTTTTTTATTTTTAAGAAATATTTTTTATTTTTTTTTTTTTTTAATTTATTAACTATGTTTAAATTTCAGATCTCCATTTTAAAGAAAGATAACGTAAAAATCCGTGACTTTGACAATGTTATTAATAAGATTAAAAAAATCCGAGCGGATGGGCCAAACAAACTACAAGTATGTAATAAACAGTGTGTTTGATTATTATTGATAGTTTTTCGTGATAATAATAATGACATATTTATTTTAGATCGTTACAGATTTTGACAGAACAATTACAAAACAGCATGTTAATGGTAGACAAGTTTTGAGTAGTTTTGGTAAGTTAGAAAATTTATTTCGTCATCTATTCATAGTGAAGTATATAATCGCACCTTTTCAAGGTTTCATTTTATTCTCACCGATAACTAATTTATTATGATAAGCATTTAGGCTGCATTCGAAAATGCTTTATTTCTAGATACATAATTAAGAAATGATCTTGTATCTTGTAAAATATTGACATTTTTAAATATATAAGCTCATCCTGATGTTAGACTCATCGAGACCTTTCATTTGAGTACCCACATCAATTTTTCATATATACATATATATAAATATATAAAATATATGAAATATTGATGTGGGTACTCAAATGATAGGTCTCGATGAGCGTAGCATCAGGGTGATCTTATATCTTAAAAAATGTCAATAATTAAGAAAAGACATTGTATTTTGTCTACTGATGATATTTTTAACGATATAAGCTCATCCTGAAGTTACACTCATCGAGACCTTTCATTTGAGTACCCACATCAATTTTTCATAAATTTTATATATTTATATATATGAATACATGAAAGATATATGAAAATGCATGTGGGTACTCAAATGAAGGCTCTTGATGAGTGTAACATCAAGATGAGCTTATATCTTTAAAAACGTCAATATTTAAGAAAGTAGATTGCAATTTAACAAAAGTCATTATTTAATAAAACAAAATTTTAATTTTTATTTGTTATGCTTCATAAGTCACGGCAGTCACATAGTGACTGCTAGGTTGCTAGTTATATATTATTTAAATCTTATTTATGAATATTTTTTTTAGGAATATTTTTTAAAAGCAGCCAAATATCAAATAATTTAAAAGCAGAAGAACAACGATTGTACCACAAGTACCGTCCAATTGAACTGGATCATGACTTAGATATACTTAAAAAAATAGAAGCAATGGAGTCGTGGATGAAAGAAACTGACGAAATCCTCAGAGGGGTTGATTTTGACACCTATGAGATTGAAGAAGTGGTGAAAGTCCATGGTACTGACGTCAGAGATCGAACGAAAGAATTAATTGACAGATTGAACGCTGCTGCTGTACCAGTGCTTGTTTTCAGTGCTGGTCTTGGTGATGTAGTTGAAGCTATTTTAAAGCACCATGACGTCTTCCTAGATAATGTTAAAGTTATCTCCAATTTTTTGAGCTACAAAGATGGCAAAATAAATGGGTTTAAAAATGATAAGTTAATTCATGTGTTCAACAAAAATGAGCATGTCATTGATAAAGATTACTATAATACTCTAAAATCAAGGAGTAACGTGGTACTAATGGGAGACATGACTGGCGATGCGACGATGGCTGATGGTTCAAGTTGCGAGACAGTTTTAAAAATTGGTTTTCTTTATGAGCATGTAAGTTTAGAATTTTAATAAAAATAAATTTAGCTGATATTAAATAATTAAAAAAATTTTTTTAACAACTAAATAATGACAAAAAAAAATTAGCATGTCGATAATTTCTATGGAAATTTCAAAAAATGCAATTTTTAATAAAAATTATTTTTTTGAACAAATTTATTTGTTAAAATAAATTAAAAAATTCTCTAATCACTGCTAACTTAACTGTAATTTTATTTTCACAGGCTGAAACAGCGCTTCCGTCTTATTTGGATGTTTTTGATATTGTACTAATTGATGATCAATCCATGGATGTTATTATTGATATCCTCAGACCAATTCTTTGAAAATTTTACTTATATTTATTATATTATAAAAAAAAAAAAAAAATTAAACAGCCTCATTAAATTTATAACTTCTTTTGATAAAAATGTGAATTAATTAAAAAAAAATTTATTGAAGCTAATATTGTTAATTGGAATGAATAAATACTTTTTTCTTTAATATCGAATTTATAATTTTACAATTTTCCGCCTTTCATTTACTGTAAAGTTATGAATTATAATAATGTCAGCCGAGATTTTTGATTTTTCTTAATTTATTAAATTAAAACTAAAAAATATTTTTAAAAAATTGCACTTATAGTTTTTGAACTTTTTTACAATTGAAAATTTTTTTGTAATCATTTTTTTTAATAAAAATAAATTATAAAAAGTAATTTAGCAAATTTTTGATAATTAAAAAATTTTTTGATAAATAAATAATGACAAAAAAAATTAAAAAAAAAAAATTAACATGTAGAAAATTTTAAAAATTAAAAATGCAATTTTTTGAAATAATTTTTCGGAACAAATTTATTTGTCAAAAAAAAAAAATTATCAAAAAAAACATTTTTTTAAAAATGTCACTTGTAAAAAACTTGAAAAACTATAAGTGCAATTTTTTAAAAATATTTTTCAGTTGTAATTTAATAAATAAAAAATAATTAAAAAATTAAAAACGTCGGCTAACTTTAATGACATAAATTTTCAGATCTCGGCTAACTTGATTTTAATAAATAACGATACTGAAGTTAGCTGACAGCTGTCAATTTTTTAAATTTCAAAAACAAATCAATTACAATAAAAAATACATTTAAAAATTTTTAATAATCATTTTTTTTTTAATTTTCACATGTGGAATTTTTTTTCACAATAATTTTAATGCTATTAAATTATAAAAAACAATTTTTAATGTCCGTCAACTTCAGTGTCATGTTAAGTTGTCGAGAGTCGATAGTAAATATTCGTCTTATCGATACTAGATTCGACATCACACCTATAATCATAATCGTTTATTTACGCGGGCCAGGCTAAGGACGTCTTACCTTGAATTTGAAGATGTAAACAAAAATATATATATTTTTTTTTGTTCACAGTGTTTGTGCTTACAATGATTAATATTTTATAACATGTATAATTATAAATAATTATTTATTAGTCAAGATAAAATAATAATATTTATAAATAAGTGATAATAATAATAAAATAATAAAATTTTAATTTGTTGGCCTCTTAACTCGGATAAGCAAAAACCGGCATTTTCGGTATCTGTTGTCATCATGAATAACAATAAATTACTCAGCTCAGACAATATATTTACGGATGACGGTAAGCATTATAAAATAACAATAATTCATTTTATTCTTATGTTATCAAATGTCAACATATTTAATTTATTTAATGTACTCAAATTTTAACAATATTTATACTAAATTTATGAATGATAAATTGTCACATTTTATTTTACATAAGTAAAAAATTTAGCAATCAATTGGTGATTTAATTTAATTATTGTATTGCTCCAGATATACGTAAAGTTGTTATGAACAGCTTAGCTTCTTCTCCTACTGTTTCATCAAGTTCATCGTCCTTTTCTACATCATCTTACAAACCTTCAGATGCTTCAATTTATTCCTGTATTTCATATCTTCGTTTTAAAATTCCTTCAAATTTACCGTAAGTATATTTATCAACTATGAATGAAAAATTGATTTATTTAATGACTGAAAATTAAGTTAACCGGCATCGGAAAATTTTTAGAATTTTTTATGAAAATTAAGTTAGCTGACATTTAAAAATTTTTAAGATTTTTTTTTTTCATTAAAAAAATGATTACCTACAATTTTTAAAAAATATTTTTTTGTACTAATTTAATTATTTAAAAAAAATCAAAAAACTAAAAACGTCGGCTATTATCAGAATTATCATTTTTTTTTATTAAAAAAAATTAAAAAAAATGTTCATTTGTAAAAAGCTTGAAAAACTATCAGTGCAATTTTTAAAAAATATTTTTTTGTACTAATTTAGTTAATTAAAAAAAATTTTAATTAAAAAAAATAAAAAAAATAAAAGCGTCGGCTAACTTTACTAATATAATTTTTTTATTGAAAAAATTATTATAAAAAAATTTTCATTTGTAAAAAAATTTAAAAACTAAGTGCAATTATTAAAAAATATTTTTTTATTCTAATTCAATTAATTAAAAAAAATTAAAAACGTCGGCTAACTTAGTATTATAAGTTGATAGACATTAAAAATTTTTCTATAATTTTATAACAATTAATTTATTACGAAAAACAATTAAAAAATTCCACATGTGAAAATTAATAAAAATTACAAGTGAAAATTTTTATAAGAATTTTTTTATTGTAATTGATTTGTTAAAAAAATTTTTTTAATTGACAGCTGACGGCTATATTTAATTTATTAATGAAAATTAATTTAGCCGACATTTAAAGATTTTTACAATTTTTTTTATTGAAAAAATGATTACAAAAGAATAAAAAAAAAATTTCACTTGTAAGAAACTTTAAAAACTGTAAGTGCAATTTTTAAAAAATGTTTTTTTGTTCTAATTTAATTATTAAAAAAAAATCAAAAAATTAAAAACGTCGGCTAACTTTAGTATTATAATTTATTATTATTATTATTATTATTATTCTACAGAAATGATTACGTCGTGGATAAATTTATGAAACTAATGAAAGAGAATGCACCAAATGAGCGAATTAATTGGAGAAGTTTTCGACAAGCGGCAGACACGTGGATTACTTCCGTCAAATCAAAGTGTCCAAATGAATATGACTTTGAAATAAATGTCAATAAGTATGTAGTAAATATAGATTACGTTTTACATGGTCAATGTCAATACAAAATTTTTTTAAAAACTATTTAAGTTATAAATGAGCAGTTGCTGTACTGTTTCATATTATTATTATCAGTAGTATTGTTTGCATCAAGGTGATTGTTAGACGATCATTATTTTTGTATAGTCATGACGCTGCTTAGCGCGATAAGCTCTTTGAGTTAATTTTACATGCTATTATAATAGTACACTTGGACAATTGTACCAACTTAGTGTTACACTTAAAGGAGACAATACATTTGTTTTTCTTGAATATTTAAGCGATGTAGTTTAAACTATAACTCTTTTCTTTTTTTCTTTTTTTTTATGTATTATATTGTTTAAAAAAAATAATATGTATCATTACATATCGGAATGGTCCAGTGGAGAAACTGCAGATAGTCCAGATGAAGGGATTACCAATGATGATGATGATCCAGATGTCTTCCATAGAGATTTCAATGATAGCGGGAAATCTACAGAACTTGTTGAATGTTCTATTTTAAATAATTCAAGTAAAATAACAACAGAGTAAGTAGACCCTTAATTTGTACAAATTTATTTTTCATTATAATTCAAAGTAAAAGACCTAGTTATTGACACTGGCCTAGTTCTTTGACACTTGCAAGTTAATTCTAATTAAAAAAATTAAATGGTTTCAAAACCAATTTTCTTGAAATTTATATTCTAAAAATATCTATATTATAAAGAGGATTATATCAATCGCTTACCAATAGCCAATTTATGATGATAAATAATTGAGAAATGATCTTGTATCTTGTGAACTAATAACATTTTTAAAGATATAAGCTCACCCCGACATTACACTCATTGAGACTTTTCATTTGAGTACCCACATCAATTTTTCATATATTTTACATATTTATATATATTATATATATGTATATATAAAAAACATATAAAAATGCATGTGGGTACTCAAATAAAAGCTCTTGATGAGTGTAACATCGAGATGAGTTTATATCTTTAAAAATATCAATAATTAAGAAATTACCTTGTATCTTGTGAACTATTAACATTTTTAAAGATATAAGCTCATCCTGGAATTACACTGGTCGAGACCTTTCATTTGAGTACCCACATCAATTTTTCATATATTTATATATATTATATATATGTATATATGAAAAATATATCAAAAATGCATGTGAGTACTCAAATGAAAGCTCTTGATGAGTGTAACATTGGAATGAGCTTATATCTTTAAAAATGTCAATAATTAAGAAATGACCTTTTATCTTGTAAACTATTGACATTTGTTTTTTTTTTTTTTTTAATTAAAATAAAATAAAATGTCAATTACTGGGTCTTTTATCTTATAAGTATTTAAATAGATTCTAATAATTTGATTAGGTGTAATAAACTCGATAAGTCAGTTAAATTGATATATGAAGCAGATGTAGAAAATACTGAAATTGAGCTTCTACGTAAACGGATTTATCAGTTTGAAAAAGACAATGCATGGTTGCGTGAAGAATTAATGAAATCTGAAGAGTCAGCAAATAATTATAAACAATTATTTTATTCATTTCGTCAAAAGTATGATCGTCGTAATGAAGAATATAGATTATTAGAACGAGAAAATGACGAAAAAAATGAGATAATTGATAATATGAAAAAAGATCAAAAACATTTTCAAGTTGCGCAAGAAAAATGGGAAAGGGAACGGAAGAGTCTGATTAAGAAGATTGAAACTGATAAACAAAATACTGAGACTTATATAATTAAGTATGATAAAGCTGTAAATGATAAGGAAAAATTTTCGAAACAATTAAATGTGTATCGTCGTTCGTTGGAAGAAAAAGAAGATTTTTGTAATGTTCTCCAAAAAGAATTGAATCAATTAAAACAAACTCTCAAAAATTTGGAAGATTATTATGAAAAAATATTCAGTGAGTTAAAAGAACAAAATGAAGAATTGAAAAGGAAAAATTTCAAATTAGAATTGAAATCAAATGATGGTAATCCAAGTAGCGAACAGGTAATTAATTTTCGCACACAGAAAAAAAGGTTCACTTGAGCCAAAAAAATATTTTTCTTCCTAATTATTTTCTTGAGCGAACAAAATTAATTCTCTTGCTTTAAGAAATACGTATCTTGATCAAAGAAAAGTTATTTAAGTCAAGAAAATCTTGTTGTTTTGAAAAAATTCAGCCTCTTGCTCCAAAAAATTTAGTTCTTGATATAAGTAAATTTTCTTGACTTGTAACCCATTGAGAAAAAATTACTTTTACCAACTTCGGTTTTCCTTCAGGCATCCGACAAATTTTCTTGAGCCAAGAATTTTGTTCTCCAGTCAAGGAATTTTTCTTTCTGTGTGAATTTATTTTTAAATTTAGTATAAATAATGGAATCGTTTAATATTTTAGCTGCATTCAATACCATCGGCAATTAATTTAGATATTTCTTTTGACCATTCGCCAGATGTTAAATTTAATAATCCAGATTCAGATTCACTGTACGACGAATTAAAAGCTTCAGTAAGTTATTAAAGAGGAGGGTGCATTTATTAAATTAATTAAAATTCACTAAAAATTAATTATAAATTTTTCCAGGGATTTTTGCCGGATGTTTCTTATGAAAATTCAAAAATCCGAGAACTTGAAGAGGAATTAGATTGGCAAGATGAAAAAGCTCGCAGTGCGGTAGACCAAATCGAGTATTTAATAAAATATGTTACTGAAAAAAAAAATATAAATAATAATAGAAAATCAAACTTGGAAGCAAAATATATTTTAATTTTGCTAGACAAAATTTCACAATTATCAGAAGTTGTAAGTATTAAAATTTTTAGTTTAGTAAATATTTACACAAACTATCATCATCATCATTATCATGATCTACGTCAGAGATAGAATTTATTTGTTATGGAAATATTTTTGACCTGTGACAATAAATAAATTTTTAGGTAACAGATGCATTTCAAAAACAATTCACTCATGATGTAAGTTGTCAAGTCTCAGAAGACCTATGGGTGGATAAAAATTTACAAGATCTTAAAATTTTAACATACAAAAATTTAATAAAGCCGTAAGTACTTAATTAATAATTAAATTTAGTCTTGGAAAAATTTTTAAACGCTTTAAGTACTGTTAGTACAGCTTGAATATATCATCATGGAAACAAGCAGATACTGCTTTGAGGAAAACATAAATTTTCCAAGATACAACAAAGATCAAAGAATATTATCATAAAAATAGAAACGTCGCAGGTTGCGCTGATCATTTTCATTTGTAAAACTAACGCACATAAATTATGCGACGTAAAAATAACCATGGTGGCCTTCGAAATCTCGGGTTAACTTAAGAATTATGTTGGTTGACCTGATTGCACGAGTTTTTATATTCAATTTTTTTCTTTTCTTAATTTTATTTTAACATTCCATGGCCTCCCACAGTCTCTTTGAAACTATATTTAAAGGACTTATAAAAAACAATAATGACTAAAAAATTGAAAGCAACTTTTCTAAATTCCACTCGTATTTATCATCATTAATTATCATAACAATAATTGTATTTTCGATTCGCGTTGCATCTTATAATTTGCTAAGTATTAACTAGATATTTCATTCATCCCGAGCTACAATTATTATCTACACTATTCCGAGAATAGGAAGAATTTTGTGTTTAGGATAATCATATGATAAAATTGGTTTTTTAATGAAATTTAGTGTCATTGCAAAGATCTCAATTTGAATTTGTACCTTTTCAAGGTTTTATGTCCTTCTCATAGTCAATTTATTATAAGTATTTAGACTGCATTCGAAAATGCTTTATTTTCAGATAGATAATTAAGAAATGACCTTGTATCATGTGAACTGTTAACATTTTCAAAAGAATAAGCTCATCCCGATGTTACACTCATTAAGAGCTTTCATTTGAGTACCCACATCAATTTTTCATATAAATCATATATGTATGTATGTATGAAAAATATATCAAAAATGCAAGTGGGTATTCAAATGAAAGCTCTCGATAAGTGTAACATCGAGATGAGCTTATTTTATAAAAAATGTGAATAACAAAGCAATGACGTTGTATTTTGTCGACTAATGATATTTTTAACGATATAAGCTCATCCTGGAGTTACTCTCGTCGAGACCTTTCATTTGAGTACCCACATCAATTTTTCATATATTTATATATATTATATATATGTATATATGAAAAATATATCAAAAATCCATGTGGGTATTCAAATGAAATGTCTTTATAAGTGTAACATCAGAATGAGCTGATATCTTCAAAAATGTCAATAATTAAGAAATGACGTTGTATTTTGTCTACGGATGATATTTTTAAAGATATAAGCTCATCCCGATGTTACACTCATCAAGACCTTTCATTTGAATACCCACATGCATTTTTCATATATGTCATATATTTATATATATCACATATATGTATATATGAAAAATATATCAAAAATGCATGTGGGTACTCAAATGAAAGCTCTTGATAAATGTAACATCGGGATGAGCTTATATCTTCAAAAACGTCAATATTAAAGAAAGTACAGTGCAATTTAACAAAATTCATTATTTAATAAAGCAAAATTTTATTTATTTATAGTTCACAAGTCACGGCAGTCACATAGTGACTGCAAGGTTGCTAGTATATGTTTAATATTTTTCAAGACATATTCGACAATATAATGCAATTGTAACTCTCACATTGGGTAAATCGAATGATTTATTGCAAGAGTTGAGCGAGTTAAACTGGTTATCCTCGCTCGTGACCCCTATTAGTCTATTTGATACATAAACTTCCTCAAATCGGATTAAATCGAGTTCAATATAAACCAGAGCACTAAAGTTCTGATCAAGTTGGAATGATTTTTTAGTATTTAAAACTAATAGACATTCAATTTGATTCAATTGTCAATAGACGAGAATAGTTTCAAGTTTAAACTCCCTCGCTCTTCAAATTAGCATGCGTATGCCTGAATCCCCTCTTTCCACTTTCATATATACATCTCTATCGTTCTCCTTCTCTGGCAATATCTTCTTTTAGAAAACATTATCATACCGTGCTCAATGTTCTCGGTAAACCGTGATAGTTAGCTATCGGACCGCTTGTCTATCCGATTTGTTTACAATAAACAACATTTTCTAATAAAAAAAAAAAAAGTATATATTTATGTATACATATAAAAGAAAAAAATATTACAAACTGTCTGAAAAAAATTAATCGTATCATTATGAGTGTACTGCAAGCTGTAATTTTATTTCTTCATCAACTACTACTTTGTTAACGTGATTACTCGGTGATTTATCCTAATTAGTGCTCACAGTTTCATAACTCCGTATATTGAACAATTCTCCAATTACCTTACTCGACAATAAAGTATCTTAAATTTTTTTCTTCTTGTAAATTAAATTAAATTATAAAATTTATTTTTTAGTTTTTTTGATAAAATTAAAGAATAACTACTGTTTTTTTTACTAAAGTATGAATATGAATAACTAGCAACCTTGCAGTCACTATGTGACTGCCGTGACTTGTGAACAATAAATAATTAAAATTTTGCTTTATTAAATAATGACGTTTGTTAAATTGCACTGTACTTTCTTAAATAATGAAGTTTTTAGAGATATAAGCTCATCCTGATGTTACAGTCATCTAGAGCTTTCATTTAAATACCCACATGCAATTTGATATATTTTTCATATATTTATATATATAATATATAAATATATAAAATATATGAAAAATTGATGTAGGTACTCAAATGAAAGGCCTCGATGAGTGTAACATCGGGATGAGCTTATATCTTTAAAAATGTCAATATTTCACAAGATACAAGGTCATTTCTTAATTATGTATCTAGAGATAGAACATTTTCGAATGCAATCTAAATACAGGCATTTGGAGTTATTAATTATTCAAAGTAAGATCATCAGATTATTAATTGTTAGTAGTAACTTACAGTCACTTTGCAGGCCGTGACTTGTGAACAATAAATAATTAAAATTTTGCTTTATTAAATAATGACTTTTGTTAAATTGCA